AGAAAAAAAATGTTCCTCTGAATTTTTACAGTTTCACTCTTAAAACTATGAGGACACTGACATTTACTTTTGAATTCTGAAAAACAATAACTTAAAAACTGTTAAAAGAAATAAGTGATTAACACCCTTTCACGTTACAGCATTTCTAGAGCAAAAAAAATTGGAGAAAGAACAGACTAAGGCTCAGAACTTGTAACTGACACTGAAAGCAGGCTCAAGGCACTAAGGCAACTACGTGATCAGTACTGAAATTAAAAAGTACTGAAATACTCCATTTTAAACAGTTACTAGGAATGACAATTGTATGTATCCACACAACTATGATTCCTAAAAAATTTACTATGCATGATGCTATTTACACAATAAGTTGTTGTTCCGGTCCGTCAAGTACACAAGGAATTTTAATGCATCCTAAAAAAATCAATTCGGCAATGATCATCTGATTAAACAGGCACATCTGAACATTCAATTCTTTCAAACATACTCATAAATCCAAACCTTTAGAGTCTGCTGAAAACTGCCCAAACCCATGTGAGTATTTCAAGGAGCTGAATTTTAAGGTTAATGAAATTCAGCACAAAACAAAGTATTGTATGTTATTAACATGAAAAAGCAACACCATCAGACACTGGCAGAAAAAGTTATTTTGAATAGTTATTCTGAAGTATTTCTAGTTTGTTTGTTGTTTTGTTTGTGGGGGGGGGTTTGTGGTTTTTTTTGTTTGGGTTGTTTGGGTTTTTTTTTTACAAAGTAGCAGAAACCTTTCCTACAGCACACAGAAACACTGATTAGGGCATCATCCCTTGCTTGATTTCAGTCCAAAAGGGATAGGGGGAGTAAAATAAGTTAAATTAAAAGGAAATTGTCTTTATAATCAGATCTTATTATTCATGCTATAGTTAAATGTATCACGAAATCAAGCCTGAAGTTTGCAGGAGCTAAGTATCCCTGCACATTAGGTTTCTCAAGTTTTGACATAACATCTCTGCAATTATAAGAAGTATCTAAAATATTAGAAACTGAAAGTTAAACCTGAAAGGATGTTTTTCTGATTTCATATATACAATGTGATCTAACTGAAGTCCTGGGTGAGGAGCGCTAATAATCCTAAGATTACATTCATCCTATGCAAACCACAGGAGATGGTGAGACAGTAGTATTAAGATTTACATGCAAGACCAGTAACTTAAAATCTTCAGATACAAATATTGGCCTTGCTGCAACTTGTATTTCAATCATGTTGAAAACTGACAACACAGGCACAGGTCAACTTGCTCCCAGCTTTTTCTTGCCTCCTTTTTCTCCTTTCAAACCAAAAGCGGACAAGAAAGTGATAAAAAACCCCAGAAGTTTCCTAACAACATAAGAATCTCTTGGTAAGTAATTAATTCACCATACATATTTATGCCTACTAACAAAAGAGATTTGTCAAATCTGCAATCCTAAAAACTGTGTATGACTTTTAGTAACACCCTTTCTTATACTTCCCCTTTTATACAAGTGCAGAATAATTTGATTATTGATCTCCTAATCCATTGCCATAATTTAAGCCAATTTAGTCCAAAGTCTTTATATATTTGACTCACACTGAGTTAACTGGACATGGCCTTAAAATATTAACAATATGCTGTAATAATTACTAAAATTGCTTAGAATTTTGTTGCAACAAGGCATCACCAAGGTTCACACAATAAATCTGGATCTTCATTGTCAAGCATTGGCAAAGAAGGAAAAAACCCCTCAGATTACCACTAGATTCATCACAGCTTCACCTCTCTTTCCTGCATCCCTACACATACATCTCAATCCCTTTATCTTTAGTTATATTAATGAGTAATGCAAGAAGTTCATCTGTGTTTTGAATTTTGCTCCTCACATAAGGCTTTGTGTTTTGTTCTGGGGCTCATCATTGATAACTCATGAGAGATCAGTTCCAAGCTCAAAATGCTTAGGAGATCTGGTTTCTCTCTCCATAGCATCCTTTGCAGCCACATCACAGCACATATCCTGTATCTTCCATACTTGTATCTTGAATCTTCAACATCCTACGATTTCTTTACAGAACACTAAGAAAGTCTGGGGGTTTATTTGCACCCTTCCTGATTGGTATCAAGCATGTTTAGACCAAGCAGCAGTTCTAAGAGAATGTCTGCAGCATTATGTAAAATTCACTTCTCAAAGGTGAGCAGGCTACGCTTCACACCCATGCTGCAGATCTGTAGAATGACTGCACCTGATAACATTTCATCTTTAACCTCTTTAATCTTTCACTGCTTATGCCAGAGCCCTCCCTTCCCACAATCTCTCTCTCCTCCACCTCTGGGCTGAAGGCTGGAACACACTATTCTATGATGCAACATGACACAGACCAGCTACCTACCTACCTCTACGCAATTACCCTAATTTTACCATTTCCACTATTTTTATCTGGATCTTTAAGGTGTTGTTTTTAATCTTTATTTTTTTCATTTGCAGATTCCTGCAGCAGAGCCTGCAAGTCACAAGTCTGTCAAGTCCCATAGTTCTAACCTCAAGCCACAATGCCTGCTGACAAAGAGCCAGACTTCACATTTCAAGGTCTTCTTCAAAATTCAAAAATCTTCACAGTCTAACAAAAAGTCTGCTTGTTTCATCCAAGAAAGAGAACCAACACCCTCAGCTATCTTTGGCCTACAGCAGACTATAATTTAAAAGAAGAACAACCTCCTCCATTGATGTTTCCCACCCTTCCCACAGTGTGGCACTTCCACCTTCATAATCCATCTACCCAGTGCTCTCTGCACAATACTTAAATCTGAGTGCTGCGTGTGTTTAAGGCTCAGTATTTTTTAAATGACCAAGTTTTGGGAAGGGTCTTGCACTTCTGTTAAATTCAATGTGACACTGTAAAGGACTCCAATTTTCAGAAAGTGCTGAGATTCATCTTCTAAAACTTCTGGCAATATTATTTATTTTATATTTATTATATCTAGAAGTAGGTACATGCTACACAGCCAATTTTAACAAGAGTAGCTAGGCTCTCCTTATTTAATATTCATGTCACAGGAGTAAAAATCCAGCCAGGAATCAAACTGTGGCATCCTGTGCCAAAGACAACTTACCACTCAGCTGGTAAGTTGGCAATTCAATTTACAAACC